TTGAGTTGAAATATGGATATTTATTTTTTTTTTTTGCTCTATTTTTCTAATGTGATGTAGATATTTGAGTTTTTTTTCACCCGTTTTACTGTTCATTAAAAGGACCTATTAAATACAAAAAAATAAAAAAAAAATGCATGTCAATTCATCTTGCTTTGTGACCGACCATTCTTCTTCTGCAAGCATTTCCACTCTTCTGTTAATATTGTCTTCCTCTTTTTCTTTCATAGTGTCGCTTGCTGCACCTTAAACCAGAAAAATGACAAGCATCACTACCTTTAAGCTAAAAGGATGGGGGGATCTACATATTGATATTCTTATGGAGGTATTCAAAGAACTAAATCCGATGGATCGATGTACTGTAGCTCGAGTTGCCCAATCATGGCAAATGGCTGCTTTACATTCATCACTTTGGAGAATGGTCGATCTCCAGGTTCTACAGTCGAACTTCGTAAGGGTGGATACAGGGCTTAGGTTGCCACAAGCACTGAGGACTGTCGTGGCTTGTGGTCGAGCAAACGTAAGATGCATCATATTCCATCCCAGCTTGCATATGAACGATGAGCAGTTGAACCTCATTGCTCGAGGGTAATTGGTCCATTTGTTTCTTCTTCTTCTTCTCTTCTTCTTCTTCTTCTTCTTCTATGTATATATGCTCTTTGTTGGTTTGTATAGATGTCCTCGTCTTAAAAGGCTCGTCCTGCCCTGTATGGAACGCATCAGCAAAGCTGCAATATGCAATGCCATAAAGAACTGGAGAGGATTGAAATCGATTACCGTGCCTGACATGGCTTCTCCCCTGCACACCATCCAGACGATAAATAGGTCCTGCAAGAGATTGACTGAGCTAAAGGTCATGGGTTCCCTCCACGGTGAATTCGCGTCAGCCATCTCAATGTACCTCCGTTTGAAGGTCTTGAGCTTGCGGTGTTGCACCGTGTCCGCAGCAAGTCTAATGTTAATATGCATGTGCATGAAGCATCTTGAGGTGTGCAATCTATCCCATTCCCTGGTGTATCTCAACGAGGGATGGGAAGCCATGCCACTAAAGAAATGGATGGATAACATCGTAGGCGAATTACTGGTGGAGCAGGTCGAGCAAAATTCAAGTTTGAGAAGCTTCATATACTGTCAAGACTACGAATCATGCAGTGCGTGCAGGAGGATGATGAGCGGTGAAACGAGGCTCCAGAAAGAGTGGCGGCGGGATGAGGTGAATAGTTTCGACTTGGATGAAGATGACGGCGATGTTGATGCTATTGTAACAAGAGACGACCGCAAGAAAGTACGGTAAGGAGCGACGATGAGCTCTTGTTTGACGGTGCCGACGGCAACACGTCGGACATTCTTGCTTAAGTAGTGCCAATTTGCATCTACTTCGTCTCGTTTCGACCAATCTCTTAATCGTGGTTAGGTCGGATTTAGTGAATGTGCAGAAATGTGTCTTTGTTGGGTAAAATTGTATTTTAAAAATTTATCGAATATTATTTGACAATTTTACCATTCTAATAATTTTTTATTTATTCAAAAGTGAATAAATATTTTCCATTTAAATTAATAAAATAAATGAATGTATGTATGTAATCTTATAAAAAAATTTATAAGCCAGATATACAATAAATAAAAATATTAAATAATCTTTAAAAATAAATAAGTAAATTTTCACTTTATAGAAGACATAAATCATTTTAATTTCTCATTAAATCATGTTATTGTATTAAGATATATTAAGAAAAATAATTGGCAAATCAACATTAATTTTTCTTTAGGGAAGAAATTAAAAGATATCTTAGGAAAAGTAAGCTATAAAATTAAAGAATAGAGTTGGTACCATTCTGGATATTAGTAATACGATAAGATAGATGATGTTATAAGATATTTTAAAAAATTAAAATAAATTCATTAGCATCCCACAAATATTGAAATGGTAATACTACTATACCGATAAGGCGTATTTCGGATCTCGAAGGCGTTATGATCCACGTCACGATCCACCTCTAGCGTCAACACGAACACTGGCCCTCAACACAAGGACCGCCTTCCTCTCGCATCAAGTCGAAGCTCATACAGGGAGGCGACCTCTTGACAAGTCTCGTTCCGAAAAACTTGGGACGGTGTCACATGGCGTCGTTTCGTGCATACCGAGGGACGACCGCATGAAGGTACATACTCGTCACTTGGGGGGTCGGTTGTCATGCCAAATCCGCATACGACCGACCCTCGGACACCGGTATAAAAGCCCCTGACTGGCATCTGCCTAGGGGGAAGAAAAAAGACTACTGATTTGATCTACGAGGGGCCCAAGTCAGGAATCCCTAGACTCGGGCTTATGTCCAGGGATGCGGGAATGCCCGAGCTAGCTCAATCCCATGTTGGAGTAGCTGCCACCCCAACCTCTGATCCAACCCGACCTCGACACCGCCTCAAATCAACCGAGAAACACACTCTTGAACATCGATGACTCCGGACATCTACCCGTGGACTAAGTTGTGCTGACTCCTCTGCCACGGCGCATGAGTTCACCAACATTTTTGGCGCTAGAAGGAGGGCTAATGTCGTAGGAACATCCTGCAAGAGCTCACCCTGAAGGAGAACCACCTACTGTTCACCTCCCTTTCGGGCTTGGAGAGCAGCCCCTCCCCGTTCCCAAGGATGGAGGCATCCTGACGTCGATGCCGGATCACTACTGGCATCTGTTCAACGATCCAAGACTCTCTCCTCCTAGAAACACTTTAGGACCCTCAGTCGTCTCACCCGAGACGTTCCTTGGCTTAGCCAAACAAGTACAAACCTTGGCGGGGATGATGCAAATGGTCGTCCCACTCATCCCGCAGATCATATAGTTAGCAGCTCCCCTGATCGACCCGACACCGTAGAGGCCGAACGTGGAACAGGTCGGGATAGGAGAGGCCTAAGAGCAGGCCGCAGCCCCTAGAAACCTCCCTGAGCAAAGTGCACTTGCATCCTGCCAAGCCATACCATCGCTCCTCGAGCCCGACACCCTATCATCAGACTCGACCGACAACTCATTCAGGGTCCAGTTGTCCGTGGTCAATTGTCGCCTAGATGAGTTCTAGCGTAAATTCCAGAAGTCGCGCGATGAGACTGAGGAAGACAGTTCAGGTGGATCCCCTTTTGCTCAAGAAATCCAAGACTTGCCCATGCTGCTCAACTTCAGACTTCCGAGACTAGAGACGTACGATGGTGGCTCCGACCCAATGGAATACGTCACTATATTTCGGGCTCAAATGGCCCTTTATGGCACTTCCGACACCCTGATGTGTCGAGCGTTCCTAACCACCTTCAGAGGACCAGTGCGGATGTGGTTTGGCCGACTACAACCAGCCTCGGTCTCTTCTTTTGATTAGCTTGCAAGGGAGTTCAAGCAAAATTTCTTGGCCAGCATGCGACCCAGGCCTTCCATGGCCACACTGCTCGCATTGTCCCAGTGCGTGGGCGAATCACTTTCCCAATTCGTCGTGCACTTCGCCGCTGAAATCCGAGGGTTCCCTGACACTCATCCCTCTCTAATTATGTAGGCATTTCTGATGGGCCTACGACCCTCAAGGTTCTTCTGGTCACTAATCGAGAAGCCACCTACAACCATCCCCGAGATGCTCCAACGTGCCAATCAGTACATCGTCGCGGAGACCCTAATGGCAGGAAGATGCGAGGATAGCAAGAGGTCGAGGGTGGAATAGGCCTGAAGAGCAACTTTGGAGTCATCAACAGCTCAACCCTGCAGGAGGCCTAACCGACTCGAGCAGCTACTCCCGAGACCCTGGCCCCTACCTTTGAACACTTCTCGTACTGAGATATTTCTCCATATCAGGGAGAAAGAGCTTTTGGGATAACCCAACCCCTTGAAAGCTACTAACAATGATCGATCTAAATATTGCAGGTTCCACTAGGATTACGACCATGATACCGAAGACTGTCACAACCTCTGAAATCAAATTGAGAAGTTGATCCAAAGAGGTCACCTCGGGCGCTACCTTAAGAAGCCAAGAGAAGCATCGCTATGCCCCGACGGCCCTATCGAGAGGCAAATCGACGTCATCGTCGGCGGATCGGCTTCCGAAGGCAGCAGCACAATGATGAGGAAGGCCTATGCTCGAAGCACGGTGGAGAAGCACCCCAAATTTGAATCTGAATTCGAAATGACCTTCGAAATCGAAGAAGTTGAATACTCCCACCATGACGACGCTTTGGTGATCTCCATTCAAATCACCAACGCTCGGGTAAAGAGAGCGGTGATCTTCCCACTTGGGACCACTATCCTCCCCGTTACCATCGAGGAAGAATTGGGAACCAAGACGGCAATGACCACCTTCATGGTAGTCGATCTTCCCTCTGTGTATAATGCCATCATCAACTGCCCAACACTCAATAAATTGAGAGTGGTGGTCTCCACGTATCACCGAGCCATCAAATTTTCAATGTCAGTAGGAGTCGGGGTGGCCCGAAGTGATCCCAGGGAGTCAAGGCGGTGCTATCTAACAGCAGTCGCTCTCCCAAAAAAGCCGTGACCCCAGCAAGCCTCGGATCCCCATGAAGAAGCTAGAGTACCGGCACACTCGGGACCAGTCGAATAGCTCGTCGAAGTCCCCTTGAGAAGGGATCGACCCGACATGACCGTAAAAGTCGGGACGACGCTGCCGGAAGTGAACCAAGTCTAGCTTTTCGATTTTCTAAAGAAAAATGCAGATGTATTTACATGGTCCCCAAAAGACATACTCGGAATCAATTGTGAGGCAGCCCAGCACCACCTCAATGGTGCGTGAGTTCACCGACATCTATGATAACATCAACATCTAAAGATTATCAATAGAAGGCCAAGTATGATTTTAGAAAAAATTATCAAACATAAATTTATATTTAAAATATACTTCGGATGCTGCCTGTGTTCGTAAATGTACCCTTAAGCAGCTTATGTTATTAGTGAAGGCCACTTACGTACATAAGATGATATCATGGTACCATAAACATCTACATGTTATAACCCCAGCTTGCATCACTCGAATGATCCCATTTATAGCAAAAGTATGGTAATGTAGATCGTACCATTAGAAAGGGCATACATGTTATATCCTTCGCCACATCAAATCTCATCATTAACTACGAAAACGAAAAGAGAACAATGGCGAGCAAAACCGTCTCACATAACGGAACACGAGTTGGGGTTCTCGTCGCTGAACAGCTGCGGCGCGTGCACCAACTCGATGCGGTAACCGTAACCCGCGTAGTAGTCCATCTCGTTCGGAGGCTCCGGTACCGTGGCCGCCTTTGCGTTGGTCTCCTTCTGGCCACCTCCTCCTCCGCCGCCGCCACCACCACCACCCTTCTCCTTCTTCTCGCCTCCGCCGCCCTTATCCTTCTTCTCGCCGCCGTCCTTCTTGGGCTGCACCATCTCCACGTCCCGCTTCAGCTTCGCCTTCAGCACCTCTGGCAGCGGCTTCGCGTCCATCGTCCCCTTGACGGTGACCAGATCCTTTTGGGTGTCGAAGACCACGCTGTCCACACCTGAGTGATACAAGCGTGATTACCAGATAAAAGTTTGGGTATAAGAGAATAATCTAAAAGCCTGCATATATTCTTCGGTGCTGCTATTACAGGACGATCAGAGCCGTACTCGTTCAATCTGACGGCGAAAAATAAGGCCCAGTTGGTAGAAAAAGTTCGGCCACTTTCTGGGGAATAATTTCCCTTTCTACAATCGAGCGTAGCTTTTTTTGCTCCAGAAATATAAAGGGAAAAAAGGATTTGAAATAACCTTTAATTTTGGTGATGGTCTTCCGGATTCGTCGGATGCAACCCTCGCAGTGCAAACGAATCTTCAGCACCACCGTCGTCACCGCAAGCTTAGGTTTTCGTGAAAGAAGAGAAGAAATGAGGGATTGATGGAATCAAGAAGAAGGACGATGATACAATGCAGGAAGAGACGTGATGCCTTGTCCTGGGGTTTCTTGTCGTCGGGTTTCTTGACCGCGGCGGGCTTCTTGGCGGAGGAGGAGGAGGGATCGTTGGCGTCGGCGCCTTTTTTGGGAAAGTTGGCGGGGGAGACGAGGTCCACCTTCTTGTGGGTCTTGGCCTCCACCCGATCGCGGAGCTTCCACGGGTCCAGCTTTCCCATCACCGTCAGCTTCCCGCTCCCGGCGTCTGCTTTCACCCCTTCCACGCCTGCGGAATCAAAGCAATCGGATGGCACTTCGCGACGGATTCATCGGCCGCAATCGATGGGAGCTGGAGATTCGCACGCACCTTGAACGCCCTTGACGGATTTGATGACCTTTTTGGCACAGCCCTCGCAATGCATGTCCACCTTCAACACGACCGTAATGCTACCGCCGGCGTCTTTCTCCTCATTGCCGCCTTCTCCTCCTCGTCCTGCTCCTCCTGCTGGGTTGCCGGCCGCCGCCTCCCCGTTCTCACCTCCCTTATTCTTCTTCTGCGGTCAAGTTGAATGGCCACTGGATTAAGAAACGAAGAAACACTGACGATTAATGTAAGGGACGAATTAAAGCAGATGGAAACCCTGCCTTGGCCATGGCTGCCGCTCGCCCTCCTGCTTGGACAGTGGATGGATGGGAAATGGAAGACGAAGGTATCATATAACAGGGGCAGCTGCACGTCGAGTATTCGGGTCACAAAAAATTTGCGATACCCGACCTACTTGTACCCCATAACTCACCCATGTAATCAGTGAGGTCTTCTCAAAGGGACCCATGCGGGGCCCAACTGCCCTCTTAAGTAAACCGCGACGGCTAGATCATGTGGGGAAAACGAGAGTTTCCTGCGGGGGTCCTCTCATTACGTGATGGGTGTCGATGGATGGTCGTCATTCATGGGCATGGCGGGGCGAGATCCATGATGAGTTCGTTGGGCGTGGGAGAGCCGTCGGATGTGGACCGGCGCTTTCGTCGCGGAAAGAGGCCCGTTGCGTCTCCACGACACGTGGCGGCATCACGGTGGTGGATCATCGTCCCCCGACAAGTGCGTTCGGATGCATCTCAGGAAATTTGCACGCATTTCATCTTGGAATTGCAATCGAAGTTGCTGGGAAACCGCTGAAAGCGAGACGTCAAGAACTTATTTGACGCACAGCGAAGTCGTGCTTACATGACGGATCAGTCTCATCAGCGATAATTTTAGACATACGAACAAGTGGAGGAAGAATTTTATGCATTCATGATATAGTCATATGGAGTGGGTCTAAATCTCGAGTAGAGTTCATGAAATCCGCTTAGTGATTAGTATTCTGGTGGTGCAGTGCTTGCCGCGCCGATCAGGTGATTGCACGAATTTCAACAAAGCCTTGTGTTGGATACCCCCATCCTGCGTGTACTCATCGTATCGTGCAACACCGGATTACGGACTCGTGGAAAATATAGGATGACACATCGTATGGTCCCACAAACCGGTGCCTAGTTGTCGACCTCGAACCCTTGGTCTCGGAAAGCGAGCGGCCCCGGTTGATGCCGTAGTGGATCGGCGGCCGCGACGGTGTCGTGTGGGGAGACGAAGAGGACCAAGGGGATGCCGTAGTGGCTCGGTCCTTGAGGACTGTAACAACCATCGATTTTGAGGGCGCGCGCGAACCCGTCGGAGCCGCCCCTCAAGGAGGTGATGGCCGTGTAGGGAGCGGAGGTGGCAGCGGCCGAGGAAATCGTTGTCGTCGCTGCCTTTTCTACGCCCTGTCATCTAACGGACCGAAGGGGCAATCGGGGTAACGGGAAACGGGACGTGAGATGGGTTTCATATTGGACGTCGATTAGACCTGTCTATGGGCCGGCCTATACGGCCCAGTTAGAAAAGGGACCCCGACGCAGAAAGTAGCAGAGGCGCGGTTTCTGTCGATTTTGAAAAGGACGGTCGGAGTTGCATCTCGGTCTTTCTCATCTCCTCCTCCGGTTCTCCCCATCGAGGAATTCAGCACAGATCTCTTCCACCTATTCTGCATCCCCGTTCGGATTGAACCCCTCCTCTGAGGAAGAGAAAGGCAGGAGGAGGAGGTGGTGGAGGCTTTTCTTGATTTGTTTGTTCTTCGATCTTCCATGGATGGTGGCGTCCGTGCTCGCTCGCTAATCAACGCCGACTCGGGCGCCACTGGTACCTTTTAGTTCATTTCTCATCTATGCTAACCTCCTAAAGTTTCGATTTTTTTCTATGGATTTTGATCCTTAGGTTCCTCCTGATTTTAGGGTTAGGGTTCAGTTTTTTTGGATGATCGTGATAATGGGTCGATTTAATTGTAGGAGCGAATCATGGACGGGAGAATACCCAGAAGAGACCTTTAATGGGGAGCTCAGTGAGGAGGAATGGGCTGTCGGATATCACCAACACCGTGAGTTCCGCAGGGATTGGAATCAGCCGCACGTCCTGCTCTGATGACGATAAGGAAAACGCAAACGTGATGCCTTCTCCGAGACCCAAGGACTGCATTTCTCAGTTGATGAAGGTGCACGACTTTTGCCTTTTCAGACTTAATCTACTATTAATTCTTTTCTTGGATTTTTTTTTGTTGTGCTCAAAAGTATGTTTTTTTTTGTCTTTTTTTTTTGTTTTACTTCAGGAAAATACCTCTTTGTTGAAGCTTCTCGCTGAGAGGAAGTCAGTAAATTTCCCTAAATATGAATTAGTTTGATTCCTTACTTGTGTATGAAACTCGTGGTCCAAAGAATGATTGAAATGTTTCTTGTTGGCAGTGAGATCATTCGGTTGAGCAGCATTGAGTTGCAGAAACTTGAGCTCCAATTACAGAAAACCAACCAACAAAATTGGCAGCTAGCTAGAGCTAACTCTCAGATGCTAGCGGTCTATAACTTGGCCAAATACTTTCTCGTTTAAGATTTTTCGATGTTTTCAGCGTTATCATTCTTTTATGTTTCTTTGTTTGCAGGAGCTTAATTTAGGGAAAGATAGAGTGAGTCTTTTAGATCACCTGCTTTTGTTTCTTTTGCACTTTTAGTGTTCCGTTTCTATGGTAGAATTCTTGTAAACTGCAGCTCATAATGAACAAGTTTATAATTTTCTCTGAGATTTAGAATATCTTAACTTGTTATGTCTTGCTATGTAGCTAAAAGCATTACAACATGAGCTTGGTTGTACCAGAGCAGCCCTTAAATTGAAGACCTCAGAACTGGAGGTACTTTACTCACCATTTGAATATACCTTGGCCAATATTTTATCTGATCTACTACACTGAGGTCTTTTTCTTTTAATTTTAGGAGAAAGAAAAGTTGAATAAAGAAATTTGTCAGAAGGTTGGCTCTAAGGTGCATTCTAAATCAAAATTTGTTTTTGATGATCCAATTGTTGCTCATAATTGTTGTCTCAAATTTCCACACAAGGAGGGAGGAACCAACCACGGTGAGGTTGCAGCAGGTGCATTTACGACAACTGATAAGAAAACCTCCAACCTTAATAGGAAGTGCAAGTTAAAAGCACAGTGTAATTTCCTTGATACTAGTTGTTATTAGATAAAATGTGATCATGTATGATCTTTCTGTTCAGTCCTCTTCTTTCATTTCTTCACTTAACATTTATGTTTTTCCTTATGCTAGGCTCTGCCACTCTGACCCATCAAGTACCATCAGAAGAAAAGGTCGACGGAAGAAGGTAATAAATTCTTTTGGATGCTTTTTTTCTTGCTCTTGTAGGGTAGAACTGCATCCTCACTGCTTCAATTAAATTAGGCTATCCCTAAGAAGGAGATCGATCAATTTGACACCTGAATCATATCAACCCGTGGAGAGCTTGCGTACAATAGAGGATGTCAAAGTTCCAGTTCAGTCAATCGGTGAGTCATCAGATGAGAACATTTCTATTCAACTGGATTCTGCAAATGGTTCTATGATTCAAGTGAAGAACGAGGAAGAGGATTTGAGTGGCTCACCGAAGTTAGTAAATGAGGAACTCCAGAGAAGATCTTCATTTGGAAGGCCACTGCGAAAGGCCGCTGAGAAGGTCAGTTCCTACAAGGAAATGTCCCTTAAATCGAAAATGCGAAGGATGGGGTAAGAGCCTTCGTTCTACTTGGATTCCAACACTTCAGGTAGTGCCAACTGTGTGCTGGACACCCCAATCCTTCTACAATCTTATCATGTTTTTTTTTTCCGCACACTTATAGTCCCTGTAAGCCAGTACCTTGCGTTGTTAGCTTAACGGCATTTTCACTTTCCGTATTGGTTGAAGCTAAAGAACATCTGAGCCACGATGATGTTGGAAATTTGGAATTACTTATAGAAGAAAACAATTTCAAGGGAGCTTCCATATTTGTATGCTCTGCAGCTTTGGTAAATTTGACAGGGTTATATACTTGAATTGCTGTAATATCTCTGTTGATTAGTCAAAATCAGTAGCTTCAAGCATATATAATTGACTGTGTAGTGTGTACTATCACTTCCATGTTTTGTTGTCAGCATATCACATACGTCATGGTTATAATCCCTCCTTTGCCAGCGTTCTCCTCTTTCTACTCTGCGTTTGATAATTGCTTGCATCAAAGATTACACTCGAAATTTTCTTTGAGCAGTAAGCTGAACACCACAATCTTTATTTGGTAATTACTTTATCATTTTACTGCCCAATGTACAAGTATAATTTTACATAACCATGGTAGCTTCATGCTCATACTAGTCGATACTGCCTCAGCATAGTTAGACATACATGGAGCAGCGATGGGTCATTTATTCCTCCATGGCGGCCTCTAAAGCTTCCAATATGTCAGTCCGAGTGACAATTCCTGTGAATACGATGAAGGCAATTTGTCAGCTAAACAATATCATTCCAAGAGCCAAGGTATGAGCTGGGTGTTTCCAACTCTCTCTCTCTCACCTATGACTTGCCCTGCCTCGTTCACTATTGGTATCCTATGAATCTTCTTCTTGAGCATCAAAGCTGCAGCATCTGCATGGTTACACACATCACATGAGACGTGGATGATTAGAAGCTGGAACCACGCGAGGACCGCGTGAAAGGAGTACCTGTGACTGTTTTCTCAGGTGACAGCGTGATCGCCGGCGACGACATCACCTCGCCCACCTTTGTTTTTGCCTGCTTGATCAGAGCAGAGCATCACTCATCAGTCAGTAATCGGAGGTTATAAACCATCAACGAAGAGAAGAAAGGGGTTGGAACCAACCCCCAGAGAGGCTTCAGCCCTGTCGTGCCTGGAAATGACCCCAATGCATCTAAGCTCGCCGTCGACCACCGGCAGCGCGGACACAAATTCGAAGTGATGATCGATCTCCTCCAGCATCTGACCTGCTATGGCGGTCACGATCGTCGTCGACATGACCTCCCCAAGAAGCGAAGAAGGCCCGACCTGCCATCCAGACAAACACTTGAATCCTGGTGCAAGGAACAGAGGATGAAGCGAGGAAGAATACCTTGTGAACGGTGACTTGTGATTGAAGATAGGCACGAAGGTCGTCGTAGCTCAACAAGGAGAAGTTCTCGGTCCATTCGCCGGAGATGATCCCTTCCGGGTACTCATCCAGCCGCGGCCGGAGGTCCTCCCTGGTGGAGAAGACCGAGGGCCTCATCTTGGAGCCTCTTGGACTGTTTCTGTGGTTCCAGTTCATGGAGCCGCTGGTGCCGGAGAAGGGAGTCTTGGCACCAACCGAGGGGAGTTGCAGAGGAATGGTTCTGCACGCCATTGCAAATTTTAGATCGAGATGCTAGCCATGAGCGACCATAAATAACAGCAACGAGTCGGGACATGAAAGGCCACACGGAGAGGTACAGGTGTATTAGAAGACAAGGCACTGGAGCCTACAGTTCACGATAATATCCTCCACAAGCAGCATGGACTCCGAACGAAGGGTCACAGGGAGAGGTACAGGTGTATTAGAAGACACAGTAATGGAGCATCAGTCCTCGATAATATCCTCCTCCACAAGCTGCATGGACTCTGATCTCGACTCCCGTCAGCCATGGATTGGTCTGCGACCTGTCAAGAGGATAAGGATGACGGAGTCGAAAATTGTGTGCAGAGTAAAACGGCGATTCATCCCCTCGAGCGACTCCGGCTTCGGTCTTTGTCCACAAGTAGCAGCAGTTGAGCTTTCTCGGTCCCGACCATATGTGCTGGGCGGGGGGATGATGCCGCCTGCGTGATGTGCTTCCTTCCTTGGCTTCATCTTCTGTCACCAAGCATTCTCGTGACATGCTATCTATCAATCCCTATTTTGCAACCATCATTTTGAGAAAAATAGATCAAAATTACAATACTAGAGAAAGAGATTGATGATTTTGAAGAGATAATTATCAATTAAATAAAAGCAAAAAAAGCACCACATATATTATCCTCTTGTAATTAGTTAGATTTAATATTTTAATTTTTATATTTTTAAAAATTATATTAGGATCTTTAAATATTTAATTTTGTTTATGTTTATGTCATCAAATTTTTTTTACAAAAATATCATCAGACTTTGTCTCATTTTAATTTATTTTTTATAAATAAAATCGATAATATAAGAAAAAACGAAATCAAATAGTTTAATAAATTATGATTGGATGTAAAGATAGTTAATTATTAGGGTAACACGGAATTATCTCTGATTTAAGCTCACGGTCAAGACGGTAAAAAGAAGTCACACAGCCAACTCAACACCGACTTTATTGTGCCTCACGTCACCCTTTTCAGTAGGCTATTAGAGGACCCGTTTGGTCGACACCTGCTCGACTACCCCGCAGCGGACCCACGTTGTCTCACTGCCTTGTGTAATAAAACGTCAGGTAGGAACATGGGTAGTTCGGTTCGATAGGACCAAGCCTGTCTTCCCGCTTACCGTAACAATAATAACAATCGATTGCCACCGCCGCTTTCGTTAGCCCCATCGTCGGACTCGTTTCCTTCCAAACTCGCCTCTCCAGCGGAGGAGTTCAAATAAGGATCGAAAGAAGAAGAAAGACGAAATCGATCCCTTTCTTTTTAAGCAAGAAGAAGACGAATAAAAATAAACTAAAGTAAGAGGAAATCTCTCTGTGTTTGGGACAAGAATTCGGTGAAAGAAGACCGAGAAAGAAGAGAACAATCATCCGGTGCAGTTGCTTGTACGATTTTAGAGTGTATTTTCTCTCGAGCACAGATTTTTTTTTTTCTTTTATGTTCCTTTTCTTTTGCCCTCGATTTTTGGCTTTAGATCCTGTGGTTGGCCGGTGATAGGTTCCAGTTTTAGACCGATTCTGACCTCAGTTAAGGCGGTGTTTGATCTTGGTTTCTATGGATCTTTGTTTTGCAGGTCGCGGAGCAGGCGTTGCGTGCTTTGGGTAATTAAGGTTAGAGATTCTTCTGCTACTGCTTGGTTAGATTAATCTTTGATGTGTTGTTCTATCTGCCCATCGTCCGATTCGGGACAGGAGTGTTCTTCTTTTGTTTGTTATCGTTGAACAAATTGAACAATTCACATCTTGATGTCAAAGAACGTCATCTATATGTTAAAACTGCCATTTTGACTTCGATCGTGCTGGAGATTTGGGGCAACAAATGTTTTTGTTCTTTTGATTAACTTTGTGTGTTGTTCTTTATATTTATGTTATATTTTTCTGTGTGTATGTTTTTGTCTTATTAAAGAGAAATAAGATTCATTTTTTCAGCGCAGTTCGCCATCTCTCTGTATGCTTATTATTGAATTCTTGTGATAGTGAGTTGTTATTTCCAGCAATGTGGTTTTGATGTCTTTGAACCTGGTGGTAGTTTCTGGATCTGAGATTGATTTGATGCTAGGGGAGTGTTATGATCTTTGCATATGAGTTATTGGAGGAGCATCTTGCCAAATTAGCACTTGTGACTTGGAATATAAGGTTCCATTTGAGGACAAACTCCGGTTAGATCTATACCAAAGATTCAGAGAAAAGGATCAGATCGTTTCATTTTTGTTCGTGGTGAGTTTTTGGGAACTTCAAGTAGTTTGATTGTGATTTGGGAGGTCATAAACTCTTATCACCAGCCCGACTTCTCCCATGCCTGGCTTTAGTGCTTCTGAAGGAACAAAGTGCTTCGCATGAGATTGATTGTGGATGAATCTGATGTTTATGGAGCACATGATGGAACTTGGAACGGATGCACATAATCTTACTGAATGAATCTGCAAGACCTGGAGATACCCATTTGTATACAGGCAGGACTAGTGGAATGAGAATATGCATATAGTTGTATTAAGTGAAAATTATTGATAAAGGATAGATGTTTCTTGCTTCTAATTAAGCTTGTGCATTATATTTTTGAAGATTATGCCTTTCTGTGGATTCCTAAATTTCTTTGCTTGAGGTATATTAGCAGCAGCGACCGAATGTGGGGTTAATGTGGGGTTTCGTAAGGAATGTACTTCAAGTTGGTGCAGGAGATCATATCTTAAAGATAGCGGAAGAGGTCACCGACCCCCCTTTTATATATGTCTTCTAACTCTGAGCTTCACGAAACTTGCTAATATGACTATTTATGTTTCAAGGCACCTTGCTTACGGCATAAAATTATTGCAGGGATTACTTGAGATTGTTTGGTAATGGAAGGAAAAAAGGAAAGAAATATTGATATGCAGATGGCACATTTAGAAGAACTTGAAAATTTCTGCACCAATTTCATGAAATTGTTTGATAATGGAAAGGAAAAAATAAAAGTAAAGTTTGTATATGCCTATTTCATGTTGAGGAACTTGATAAATGATCTCTCTTCCTCAGTTATATGATGGTGGATATTGCTCACTCTTATATTTTGGACCAGCTGACAGTAATAGGTGTTAAATTAGAAATCAATCTTTCTTGGGACATTTAAATTTTTGTTACCAGACAATTCCAGCACTTAGTGTCAGTATTCTAAATCACATGTATGAAGTGCATCTAAAAGAATCCGAGAGTGAATGCCATACATGCTTAATTCTTTCACTTGATTGTAGCAGATGACTTCAAAATCCACATGGATTAGACACCAGCAATCTTCACATACATGAGTGTATCAGTGGTATTAGTATTTCTACCAGTTGTTAACAGGGGATGAGATTGGTATAGTGAAGCAATTGAAATGCGAGAAATTATTTCAAAAGCCAATCCCTCATTCGTTATTGTACTTGTCTCCTATGAAACCATTCAAGATAACCTAATTCCCAAAGATGTATTCCTCATATGATGGTTGGTGTTACAAACTTCTTGCCTTTGGTATTTATGTGAGTGCATGTATGATAAATTCATGATAATTACTCTTCGAACACAGTGTTGGGTTGAGTGCTTGTCTAGAAATCTTATTTAATTTAGAGCCATGCTAAAGATGTCATGATTGGAAACAACTTTCTTGTATGATTTTTGTTTCTGTGTCGATGCCACGAGTTGATAAAGATTAATGCAGATTCCAGAGTATTTTTGGATTTGGCCACAACCTATTTCTGCCACGATCGTTTTTTATTTTATTTTATGTAGATGATTAGATGTTCTTATCTTATCAAAGGTCAGAATATGTTCTCTTTGGTGCTTATCTTTTCTTAAATTGCTGCAAAGCTTATTGCTGTTACAGATTTTGTAGCTCTCAGATGTAAATAGTGATAGTTAATCCACCTTTGCATTTTTAATCAGTTTGACACTAAACATTTACAGCAGTGTATTGGAGATGGCCGATAACAAAGAAAACACCTCCAAGAATCCAGATACCATTGGTCTACAAAAACAATGGGATGAGGTTCTGTGTCCCATCTGCATGGATCATCCTCACAATGCTGTGGTTCTCATATGCACTTCATATGAAAAAGGTTGCAGATCTTACATTTGTGATACAAGTTACAGGCATTCAAATTGCCTCGATCAATTCAGAAAATTGAGAATGAGCTCTAGTGACAGCCCATCTGGTTCCACCTCTACCATCCTTGAGAATGTTGATTCAGGGAGATCTCGCTTGGGCTCTCCTTACACCCTGGAATCTGCTTCCTTTCCTGGCGCCCTAGGGACAAGAACAGACATAGAGACCCATGGTGGTTACAGTTTTAATGATAGAACGACTACTGGTTTAGTCGAAGACTTAGACAACACTGGGGATAGACAAGCACAAGATAGATATTTAGCATCTCAGGTAGAAGCAAATGTTAGTTTTGATGAATCTGGTGGTGGTAATGCACCAGAAGACAGTTGCTTGAAGTGCCCTCTCTGCCGGGGTGTTGTACTGGGTTGGATGATTGTTAAAGAAGCTAGACAGTATCTGGACCAGAAGCTAAGAAGCTGCTCCAGGGAATCATGCTCATATTCTGGAAACTACCAGGAGCTTCGTATACATGCCAGGAGAATCCATCCAACGACAAGGCCTGCTGAGGTTGATCCATCAAGGCAACGTGCTTGGCGCCACCTAGAACACCAGCAGGAGTATAGTGACATCCTCAGTGCCATCAGATCAGCATTGCCAGGGTCAGTTGTATTTGGGGATTATGTTATCAATGATGGGGAGAACCTGTCAGGTGATCGGAATGCACCGTGGTGGCCTACGCTTCTGCTGCTTCACATGATCAGTGGTCCAATAGGTTCATCATTTGATGAACGGAGAAGCTCTTCAAGGGCTGGGAGGGCTCGTCGGCGCTCCTCAACACGCCGCTACTTATGGGGTGAGAACTTGTTAGGCCTACAAGAGGATGATGGTTGGAACTCAGATGACAACATCCTGATATCAAGGAGGCGTAGGAGGATAATGAGATCAAGACGGGATGAGGAACAGCAGCCATGAGGTTATTTGCTTTTCAGCTGTTTCTGGTGTTCTATGAATTCTTTTGCTTGCTTCTTCTTCTTCTTCTCCACTAAGGATCGGCTTTGCAATACTGTTCCAGTTGTTTACACTGCATTTAGTCTCTACTGATGCCACTCAGATCATGATTTCGGGAATCTTGGTAGCAGTTTCGGATTTGTGGACTCTTCACAAAAGCATATATTGCTGACAAAGTGGCTATCATTGTTGATCATTTGTGACCAAACCTAATGATGTCAGCTATTTCAAGCCTCCTATATGTTAAAATTGGTCACAGACGAAATTGTATCTCAGGTTAGATATGCCTTTTCTAGCGGTCATAATCATGTGTAGCAAAACTTTATTTTTTACTGTATAACTAATGCAATTCCAAAATTATAACAATGTAGGTTGATCTTGGATTTGTATGATTTGCATGAAAAGATTTCTTGACACTATCCATTTTTTACCATGTTATATATTCATTAAGAAGTCCAGGTTTGTCTTGTGATAGAATGAAGGATTGATTTACAATCCACTCATCTGCTTAGATGAAGAGCTCACTGAGAACTGCAAATTAGATGGTTCCACACTGACAAGAATTGGATCTTTGCTGCAACTGATAGGATCTCAACTCTTCACACTTATCTTTAATATGCCTTTGCATGAGGCTGTTTGCGATTATTATATGCCAATCTTGGATTAACTACCTCTGGCACTGATATTAGATGTTACATGTTATTAGCTTAGGTTCTCTACACCTTATTTTTAGCTTAGTTCCTGAACCAGATCAGTGTTCTGATGAAAAGTTGTATCCCTGTTGCTGCAGCACCTTTAAAGGTGGAGGTTGTTCCAACATATAGGGTTTAGGGTTATTCAACAAAAAAAATAACATTATATTGCTGATAACACACAATTGGAACATGAAAGTCAGTTGGATCATGCTGCACATCTCAGAGCTTTCACTGCCTCAAAATAAAAAGATCAAGATCTATGTTTCGATTCAACTATATAAATTGAGGTATGTTCCGGCCCAAAAATTGAACTTTAGCCATTGTTGCAAGCAGTGATTTAAATAGGTGCTAGGGGGCTCGCTTAGGTGCTCAGTCGAGGCAAGGTGAGGCCTGAGCGCCTCGTGTGTGGACTAGGCAGTACGCTTTAATGAAGCACCGCTTGGGCGCTCGCCCGAACCCAAGTGTCGAGCGCTTCGAGCGAGCACCTAGTTCAAATAAGGCAATCGAACCAGTTTGGTTCAATAATAGTTAGTATTTAGTAACACAGTTTCTTACCCTCAAAAGCCACCCTTTATGCCCGCACGATCCCGAGCCAACCCTAGTGCTGCTTCTGCCTCTGTCGCCAATACTTTCTGCTATTGCCTCCATCACAGATGTAGCGGATCGAGCCTTCCTCTGTCGTTGACAGACGGGTCCGACAACGTAGCAAGAGCCCATAGCTTTCTTCTATCGTCGCTCCATGTGTAGTTCCTTTCACTATCGAGGGAGAAGACCACAAGTTCCTTCGCCACTGACGGACGCCCTCTGGAGCTTTCGTCGCTGCGATTGCTGTTGTCCACAGCTTCTGTCGTTGCTGCCATTCGCAGCGCTGCCACGACTATCTTAAACTAATCTTTTGCCGCTACTACTGTCAGCTTCTCATCGTTGTTGCTATCACTTTCCACTATCGATTTCCACTATCAGTGACCCTTTTATCCTCCTCTGTTATTATTAATAAATCTTTTCTCTCCTTCTAACTACTGTTTACAGTAAGTAATATACTGTTAATAGTATATTTTTAATTTAATATCATATTTTTATTTAAATAATTATATTTATTAATTATATTATATATTTTAGAGTGCATCGTTTCTCTGAGGCAAGTGCCTAGCGCTTCGAGTGTTTCAGGACTTGACACTTTTTGACGCCGACACTTTTTAAATCACTGATCGCAAGCACAAGTTGAGCAAAACTAACATCATATCATCTCATTACACAAGGACAAAATTCTTTATACACTTGAATATGTTGTAGCATCACCACAAAGAATAGGTAGTAACTCATGTCCGGAAGAAAAAAAGGAATACACTTGTCCACAATTCTCAAATGGACGATAAATACTCAAGACATAAAGCCACTCGAAAACAAGGACTAAAGAGGAAAAAGAAAAAAAGCCTGTGTTTTCAAGGGAAAGTATCCCCTAATTGGCAGCTTCATCTGTTTGCTCGAGTCTGTGCCTTCTGCTGGTATGCCATGGACATGGCACGCAGTCTGTCGGTTATCTCACTAAATGAGGGCCGTGCCACGGGATCCGGTGACCAACACTGTTCCATTAACCTTCTCCATTCGGATTCGCAACGTTCCGGTATGGGCGGTCGAAGCTTGTTGTTCAAGATTCCACCTGTAAGTTTCACAAAAAGATGATGATTTTGTTGCACAAATTTAATCAAATCATTGAGTATCAGCTTATCCCCATGGAAATGGAAAGATGATAACCAGTGGTCTGATTAGCAATTCACTTACAGAAAACAAGCAATACATTTCAAAAGAAAATTATACTAAGAAAAAGATGAAAGCAAGTCGTCAGAACATATTGTTGAATCTCGGATTTTGATGATGAAATCAATTGTAAATTATTTGATCTAATCTATACGTTGAGAAAAGTATACATGATTAATTACGATAGCAGTAAGACATAAAACAATTGTTGTGCCGGAATCAATATCGAGATCTCGTTTGAAGTTCAAGAGTTTGTCGAAAGTCCGAACGTTCGTCGGAAGTTCTGCCGGAACCAACCGAGAAGTCCAGGAGCTTGTCAAAGAAGCTCGTTGGAACTCGCCAAGAAGATCGTCGTAAAGTCCGGGAGCTCGCCGAACTTTATACAATCCTCGAGCCCATGCCTTTGTGTGAAGTGTAACCATAAAATAGTTTCCGTATGCCCAAAATAGCATAAATGAGAAAGAACTAGTCAGGAGCATAAATTCTGAAGAAAATTGGAAACAGATATTATTACCACAGATGCTGCATGTGATTGTGAAATGGATAATTTGATCAATTATAAGTCTAAATAGACAAGACAAAAAGGCTTGAATCATAAAAACGACTAAAATGTTTAAATTTCCAAAGGCAAAATGAGATTTACATGATTAAGAAGAGCCTGACTACTTACTTAATAATGAAAAGTCGACAATTTAACATGAACATAAATCATCGTCGACGAATTTGTTAGTACACAACAATGTATTGTTGATAGAAAAACAAGCCTTGTGAAATTCTTACTAGATAGTAAAATAACATTTACCTATGATCGCGCCACAATGCATATTCGCGTAGGGTTCTTCCCCTGTCAGGATTTCCCACATAACTATTCCAAAAGAGAAAACATCAACCTAGAAATGACCAAGACATGCTGTTAATTGCCTCTGTCTTAAGTTCAAGAAGCATTGCATGAGGAGACTAAAAACTGATTTCCCACATAACTATTCCAAAAGAGAAAACATCAACCTAGAAATGACCAAGACATGCTGTTAATTGCCTCTGTCTTAATTTCAAGAAGCATTGCATGAGAAGACTAAAAACTGATTTCCCACATAACTATTCCAAAAGAGAAAACATCAACCTAGAAATGACCAAGACATGCTGTTAATTGCCTCTGTCTTAATTTCAAGAAACATTGCATGAGACTAAAAACTGACTCATGGAGATCACCTTTTCGGAAACCCTGCTACTGCTCCCATTCAATAGTTCCGGCGCCATCCATGGGAGGGTTCCTCGCACACCACCAGAAACCAGGGTATTTCTTTTAATTCTTGACAATCCAAAATCTCCAACCTACGAAATTACACATAAAAATATCTCGTAAGCTAACTCGAAGTTTAGTAGGAAGTTAACGATTTTTCTCCGGAATTGGACAGCATATGAGGAATAATATAGAAGATGCAACCAGCTGAAAATATATATATTTTCACATGATTCAGATCGAGTGCATCGAAATGCATTTCTCAAGCTATATATGTATATGTATATGTATATGTATATGTATATATGTATGTTTCGGGACCTACCTTGCATATCGGTCGCTGGAGATCTCTAAGATTCACTAGTAAGTTGTCACATTTGAGATCAAAATGAACTATGTTCTTTGAATGCAAGTATTCCATCCCAAAAGCAGCATCCATCGTGATTATAAGCTTTTTGCGATGATCAAGTGCGCTAAAGAAAAAGTAACATCATCAGCATAATCATGCAATTTTTGCACCGGTGAAATCAATACAAGAAAATTTTATGGCCGGCTCGGCTCACCTGTCCTTCCTTAGCAGGACATGCCTGAGTGATCCGTTCACCATGAACTCTGTGACGGTGGCCAATGTTCCCCCAGCACCATCTGGAACTACCCCATAAAAAGCTACCACGTTTGGATGGTGAAGTTTCGAAAGAATCTGTGCCTCCCTCCAGAAGTCATTGCTCTGTAGAATGAATCGAGCAGTATTCCAATATAATCAATCAACTCGCGAAATGCATTACATTTAAGTAAGTGAATAGCATGTCTGAATAGGAACTAATGGATGCAAAATTTGAAGATTTCAGTTTATTTTAAGCTTCATCAGTTCAACACTAAGGTCTTAATCAGAGCCCATATAGATTTCCTGCAACTAAAAAAAGATCAAATTTTGCATCAAAAGTCTTAACAAAGAGGCTTCTCCTATGTTGCTTATAAAAGATGAAAGTAATTGGATTGAATCGGTCGATTTCCTAAGCAACGAATCTGATAGAACATACAAGTGAAGCCCCGCTAACTTGGAAATTTTTAGTTCATGAAAGGTAAGCAAAGTGTAACTATCAATTATCATCTAAACAAGATAGTAGTAGTATAGCTGATAACACAGTAGAAGATCAGGTCACCAACAAACCAGTCGTTCTTGCTCAGAGGATCTCCCTGCGAAGCAGCTTTTTTTGATACGTTTGATTGCAACATCTGTTCCCCGCCACTTTCCATGGTAGACAGTTCCGAAAGTACCAGATCCCAGTTCATGTAGCTCCTCAAGATCAGCATTTTTTATAATCTGAACATAAATAAGAATTTTAGCAGCATATCTAAGCACCTTGTTTTGTTAGCAACCAAGAGTTTTGAAGCCACTTTGTATGATAGGCGACAAAAATGATCGGTGGTATACAGATCTTGTGCTCACCAAACATAAAACCTTAGGACATCATGAAGCTTTCCATGACAAACGACTAATTGATCTTATTCGACACATGGAAGTTCCTTTACTCTTTTTTTTTTTTTTTTTGCACAAGGACATGTTGTGAAACCATATGCAGAAAACATTTGAACTTTCTTTCTTGGACATAACACTCTTTCATACACAATAATGCTTACAGTAAGATCCTAATTATATATTTGAGGGGACTATAGAAAAAGGACATACAAAAAAGGTCCATGAAACCTTACTGTAGAAGAAGAGGCAACAAAAACAAAAAAAGAAATTTTTATTACTATATATCAGTACCACATTTATAATTTGTGAACAATACATTGAACCAAGTCTAAGTATGACTATCAGTAAGTGTTAAGAACTGAGCTTATCAATCAAAGAACAGAGCATTGTCAATTGAGAAAACCTTAGTTATGCTATTTAGCTACTTGTTGAGAATGGTAACAGTCGAGCATATGTTAAAAGTCTATGAAATCCTTGAAACACATTTTGAGGTGAATACGATCGATCATTTGATGAGAAATACTCATCACAAAATTTGCAAACTATGTTATGAACCAAAAGGAAGCTTTAGTCTCAAAATAATTGAAATAGTTGCAGAACCAATTAGCAAGCTGTTGCAGAAAATATAACCTGCAGTTCAGATTGTAGAACATTAACATTTTTACCTGCAAACCATAGATCCCAGCTTCTATTTCTGCTATCGCAGCATCGCTTATAGATTCGTCCAGTTCTCTTACTCCAGCTTTCATATCCTGGATTTTAGATATTTAGCCACCATATCTAATACAAGGAATCGAATTAACCATCCTAAGAACCAAGTACAATAAAATCCATTTTTACCTCAGTTTCAGACTCTGCTGGATAGATCCCAGCATCAGTCACTTCTGGCAATAAGGAATCATCATCATCTGCATCTTTAACAGTCTCACGAAGTACATGGGGAACAACTACTGCTGAAAACAGGATGGATGACGGAACAGCATGAGTTACATCCTCAACCGTAACAATTCCCTCGATTGGATGTTTGTCATGCATCTCGTGTACAGATTGTTTGCCATTCTCTTTCACCTGCTTATGACCGCAGAAGCCATTTTCCTTTACAATGCAACCTGAATCTGAAAAATCAACAACGCTTTGATCAAGGCAAGAAACTTCTCTCTCTGAATTTTCAGTGATAGCAGGAGTCCATGACAAAAACCAATTAGGAAGGTCGTGGTCAAGCAAGTCCTGGTCGAGATCACCATATTCTTGGTTATTCTTCATATTCTGAGATATTATGACAGATGGAAAATGAGAGACAGGGGCATTTGATGGTATGTCGACTACGCCATTTGAGTCTCTGTCACCAGAGCTTTCTCTAGCCATCTGTTCGGCAGATTTCTTCTGGTTCACTGTTTCTAAAGAATCCTTAGGCCAGGGAACAGGAGATACAGCAATGGTGTTTCCACCTTCACATGCAAAATCACAATTTAACAGCTGAAATGATTCGCCATGCTGACCATTAACCTTTCCACAAATTTTCACAGATATGTCTTGTATGCATCCATCGATTTGCTCACTAGAACAGTGCTCCATATGATTATCTGGATCAGAAGTTAAAACGATTGAAGATGCAGGAACAGAGGTTTCTAGCGCCTCTAACTCTTCAGAAGAAAGACGAGCTTCAAGCAATCTGCATTCTTTAATGGAAGTTTCTGATTCTTCAGAACGATTATTTTGACGAGTCTTGTTATCCTGAGGGTGTATAGCCTGCATAATATTATCATAAGAACATCCATGTAGCAAATCCTGATCTACCAATTCTTTATTCCGATGCTCCTTATCTGTAAAATCTAGAGTCTGATAATGAAAATAATTTATACCACATAGCTCTGGCTGCTGAGAAAAGCGAACCTGAGCATCGGTAGGCATGGTTCCTTGCGATTCAAAGAGAAGACTCGGTCGTGGCCTTGATCCTTCCTCCAAGTTACCTATGCGTAGCTCAGAGTATGGTGATACCTTCGTGTATGGTTTCATTGTTTCATGCTGATTCTGAAGAAATGAATCAGAACACTCATGAGGCGCAATTTGAAACGCAGCGAGTGAAACATCTGATCCTGTTACCCAACCCAAGTTTTCTGCTGCCCGTCCAAGATGTCTTTTTGAATCAAAAGATATATCCATTGCAGGAGGTATTTCACAACGAGGATATGCAGCAAGGTTGGTTTCACTGTGGGTAAACAGTGGCTTAACCAAGCCTTTCATCTGACTGTGATCTTGTAATGGTGCTCCCGCATGGGATCTGAGTGGCAGATCAACATCAGTATGTGAGTTATCATGAAGCTTCGCTCCTGCGGCACTTGGAGAATACCCTGTATCGAAAACATAATAACTCCCCAATGGTTGCAGGGGCTTTATCTGATCATCCACGGATTGCTCCTGAGGATATCTCGTATCTCGTTGCTGAATTGGCTTTGGAGAAAAAGGAGGTGATTGGAATGGGGACTTCAGTCCACTTGGAGAGTTAATAAAGAACTGAGGGGAAAGATGATGATTGAAGATTCCGATACCGTTTTGGGCCTTCGCCCCATCGAGTGCATCGAATTGAGGACAAGAAGGAGACTCTTTGTGCAAACTTGGAGAATCATCCAGATGACATCCCATTTGACCTGAGAAGCTATTTCTTCTCGAGTTCTTTCTCGGGCTCGGGTCTAGCATGTTATTAACGGCGACAACATACTGATACTCTGAGTTGCTCTGCAGTCCTAATGAATCTAGACAAGTGTTCTCAGACTCATTGAGAAAGATAAGAAATAATCGGAGTCGCTGTGAAGCATCAGCCTTTTCAACCCCATAGTGCTCTTCCATCATATTCTGCAGGTCCTCGTCGGAAGCAACAGATATCAAAGCATCTAGTTCTTCACCTGGAAGCTGATACTTGATCGTATGAGGTTGCTTGCAAATGCCAAAAGTTTTATGCATCAGTTCTTTCCATGTAACATTCTGACCCATGGAAACAATTCGAGTTTCACCACCGACGTACCTCAATTTCCCATCTCCCGGTCTTGGCAAGATCTTTCCACCAAAGCTGCACAGGAGCTTCAACTTCCCAGACTGAGGGCTACTCGAGGCTGCAGATCCCTGACAGTCGTGACGACAAACTTGAATTGGCCGTAAAAATGAACAGGTTTCAGAATGCTCATCCCGATACTTGTCAGACACCCTCTGATCATCCTCAGTAGGACTTTTGTTGGTCTGACTCTGATCAGCGTAGTATCCCATGCACTTGACATCCGTCACTTGCCCTGTGGCCAAACTAGAATTTGAAACCTCAGAATATACTGTAGAAACTGATCTTCTCAGACCAAGAAGACATGTCAGATCTTCATAGCCTGAATGGAAATTCTGGTAATTGTTACAACCATCTCTTTTTATACGTCCTCGATCCATTTTGTGTGAAAGTGGCTCAATCTTGAAGAAACTCCACAAACAATTCCTCTCCTATTAGATCATATACATACCAAGGCACATGAACTAGAGACCAAATGGATATGGTACGCCATGGTTGTCCGTCATATGGATTGTATAACCTCTAAAACACGCATCCCCCTCCATCTCTTACATTTTGGATATTCACCCAATGCTACTTTCTGAACCCAAGTAATGGATTCTGGCATCAGAATTTGGCTGTAGCGATTCTTATCACCCTAAGCTTCTAATATACCCATCAACTTTCCAAATTGCTTAAAAGAAGCAATCCCTAGAGACGATTCTGTCACCTACACACACGATCACCAAGTTGTTTACAGAAGAAGCAGCTCTTTTTGCAGCACAATTTAGCTACCTGCAAACATCTATCCAACATTACCACGGGACCAAGGCAAAAGAGCTTTCACCTCTCAAGACGCAGAACTCGATTCATATCCAGCGCAATTCAAAGTACGCAACCAAAAACAGAGAATCGATCGGTGAAGTCGAGGAACAGAACTCGACAAGGGGGAAACAAAGGGTCGCATCGATCGGGAATCGTGCCCTTCGAAAAGGCAATACCGACTCGCAAGAAGGGATCTTTAGGATCTAAAAGCTTGTATTTTTTTTAGGGGGGAAATCGAGAGAGTACCTGCGGCGAAGTTTTCCGGCATCGATCAGCAAACCCGCACCGGAATTCAGGACAAATCTGATGGGAAAAGGAGTGGATTATGGAACAAAAAATTCCTCCTTTCTCCCATCATTTTCCTCCCTTCCCTTCGTTTAGAGCGACGGAATAACTAGAGCTCCGAAGGTCAAGGGAGGAAGGACACACATGAGGAGAAGGCGGCATCGATAAAGGCAAGTGGATTTACCGCGCTCCTCTCTCTCTCTCTCTCTCTCTCTCTCTCTCTCTGTCTCTCTCTCCCCCCACAACACGACGTGTCGTGGAATTTGCGTAATCGCTTTATGTTGGAAGCTAATAAAAGGTCTTTAAATAAGTGGAAATGCCTTCTTGGAGTCGATGGAAAGCGTTCCACGTCGGCAGATCCGTCCCCGCAGCTGATTCGTGATGCAATCAACCCAAAAGGACGCATACAATAAGATTCCATCCACCGGCCATGTTTTGTCGGAATGCTTCACGTCCCAAACAACACTTTCTAATTCTAATTAAATAATAGCATGAAATATGTAATATTCGAATGGAAAAAATATATATATTAAATAATAAAATAATTCTATTCATCATAAATTCAACTTAAATATTCATTTTCTAATTTATGGAGTATTTGTTTTAATTTAATATTACAGTTATATAAATATGAAATTGACCGTTTGAATAGACTGTTTACTGTTGTGATGGTGAAAATGTCAAAAACATTTTTGCCATTTATTTATCTTAAAATTAGGTATTTGGGCTTTGTTGGTGACCAAATCGATTCAAGTGCGGCTCGTTTGGCTCGGGAACGAACCACGGTCGAACCGACTCGCCGACGCCGGTTGTTGTCATCATCATTCTTATTTCTTTCTGCTGTGAATCCAATAGATGTGAGCCAACACTGCTTCTCGTACGCTAAGTCGGTGGTTAAATCATGTCGTCGTCCTTCCACCGCCTTCGCGACCATATAATCGGTCGCAATCGTCATATTCCATCGCTGTGCCCGGTCTCCCTCTTCTGCTTGATCCCTACATGTCGCCGTCGACGCCGACTCTGATATTTCCCTCCTCCTCCTCCTCCTCCCAGTGGTGGCCACCACCGGCCCCGGTCAGGTGTCGCCCTGGCCTGCGATCGCATACGCATCCAAGACTCCCCGCGGCTCCGCCACCTCGCCAAGTACGCAGACGTCCTCGAGGCCAAGGTTTCGACGCCGGCGACTCCCTGATCGGCATCCGGGTCCATCGGGATCTGCAACAGAGTAGCCTGTGCCCCAGTATGCACTTCCGTAACCACTTGACAAACCGATGATTCTCCCCTGTGGCCGCGGAGGAGACCTAGCCGGCGAGTCCATCGCCGGAGTGCCGATCGGAACTACAGTAACCAAGGGACGCGTCTCCGTTGTTCCGCCGCGCGGCAAACCCTCGACCGAGGGATAAAAAACCCTCTTTAGATCCGAAGGCAATACGTCGAATCCGGTATTGCCTTCCGATCCAAGGGTTTTGCCGCCCTTCCGGCGTCAATCCAGGGCCTCAAGCACGACTCCGCCATACGAGAGGGGCGGATCCCAGCGACGGAAGGACCCGATGGCGTCAAGAAAACAAAGAGAGAGAAGTCGGGAGTGACGAACGCGGCGAGAGGGGACGACGAGGAGAAGCGCATAACAACCTATCCATCCGTCGCTTCCGACTCATGGCACGCATCTTCACGACGCCCATCAGGATGGTATGCGCATCTCAAAGCATCAAGATGCAATGTGTAAGGACGCCGCCTCGGAACAAAGCCGCTGGTCGCACAGCGCGCCTACTCACAAAGCTCCGTGAAGGAGACACGTCAGCGTAGAGTCGTCAAAACAAAGAAGATGGAAGTCCTATATATATTTCCAAGAAAGTATATAATTAATTGGTTATGTGGGAGATATGATAAATCTAATTGCGCGTCAAAAATAAAAAGGAGAAGAAGAAGAAGATAGCATGTAATTTGATTTTGTTTGATATATTTTTTTTTGGTTAAAATATCTTAATTTTCTTGGAGGGCTTCGATTGAAACCTTCAAACTCAACCTTTTTTCCTCAAATTTAATGTATTTGTTTCATTTTTTTTCCTGAATTTATTGAGTGAGAACTCTCTCTCTCTCTCTCTCTCTCTCTCTCTCTCTCTCTCTCTCTCTCTCTCTCTCTCTCATCCAGTTATACACTTTTGTCTATATAGATAAATTGTTTAACTTTGCAGATGGATCAAGAAAGTATATGATGAACATAGATGTGATAATAACTAGTTCTCAAGTTCTTTATATTAAAGAAAAAGATAATTAATTATTATGTCATCTTTCTTTCTCTTAGAAAAAGATGAGTGAAAGGTACTAAACCCAGAAGACTAGTGATTCAAATCCCCATCCTTCATTTATGGATGAGTTAGCTAATGCATGAAATGAGTAAATGAGATTTATAAGTACTGCAAGCCCTACTCCTTATTCTATCAATGTTTATGTATAAAGAAAAACTCTCAAACTCCAACATAAGTAAACATGAACTAATAATAATAATAATAATCATCATCATCATCAACTTAATCTCTTCTCTGCATAGAGTATAAGATATAAGATATAATTGAGATGTTATGATGAAATTAAACATAGTGCATATAAGATATAAAATAGTGCTTAAAAAAAAAAAAGATAATTAAGATTCCATCACTAGATAGCCTTCACTTTGTGAGAATAAACATAGTGTCATCTGTCCTCCCCACATCTACAAGAATCTTCTGTAAAGAAACCCTGGTTTAGGTTCAACTGTGGTCACAGAATCCCTAGGAAGCCATGAAGAAGTTGCCAAGTATAGACACTATTATACCCAAAAAGAAATCATATGCAGTCTGATAGTGGTGAAAGATCCAAGGCAAGGTGGAGCAGTGACAATTCATGCATCCCTATCCAACCAATCCTTCATCCATAACACAAAGTTACAGCACACATTCCCATGATCTTTAGGAACTTAGGGTTTGGGAAATGCCATGCATATTAAAAGAAGAGAGACTAAGCTGCATGCGTCCACATACTTCCTCACCATGGATCCTGAATCCAAAATAAGGAGGTGGGAGTCACCATCACTCCCTTTCATCCTCCAAACCAGGTTCTGTTCATCGGTGAGCAATGGCACCCACCTTTTCCAAAGGGTCTGTTCTACCTTAAAGGAACTGCACAAAAATATACTTTGATCTGATAATCTGCAAAGAGATTATATGAATGACATCTGATCATGCATACACACCTTACAGTTCCATATTTCATTTTGCTGAATGACAAGATACATGGAGGATTGATTGTTTTAGCAGTGACAGATGAATCTAATTTAGCTTTCTGCTCATGCCAGCTAAAAACTTGGATGAACCTCAAAGTCAGAAGACTATGACATGTATCCTGAGATGATGGATCTTGTCATTTTGTCTCTTTATCCAAAAGTTACATGAAACTTCAATGCTGGGTGTTCTTCAAGTTCTCCACATGGAAATCATCTTTCATGAATGATTTCTTTGCCTTGGATGCAGCAGTAAAAGGAAAGGAATTTGACTGCCAAGGCAAACAGTAATAACTGTAACCGTCATCCCAAATCTATGTTTGTGTTTCTAGGTGAGACTTTGGATGATATGTATGATTCCTTCCTGCTGCTTTTCCACAATACAACATTAAGAAACCAGTGGCTTAATTCTTTGAATTGTGGAATAACATGATTAGATCTTTTCCCGAAGAATACAATGTCAAGAGCTCTCGTGTTCTTGTTGATTTCTTGATAGACTATGGATCATAACCTTGTCAAACATGCTTCACCCACATTAAATTAATGGCGGAGGAGATGAAGACCTCTCATGACCTTCACATGGAGCTCTTGCGTTGCCCCCAGCTATTTATAGACCCATCAACCTCCCTGCCTCATCCACACCTCCGTCTACTGGTCTCCTCCTTCCTCACCTGTTTGATCATGGCCCATTCGTCCGACCACCGTGACAGCTTCAAGAGGAGATGCAAATGGGTTAACGGCCCTCTCATTGTAGGAGCCGGCCCTTCGGGTTTGGCCGTGGGTGCGTGCCTCAAGGAGCATGGCGTCCCCTTCGTGATCCTTGAGAGGTCAAACAGCATCGCCTCCCTGTGGCGAAACCGCACCTACGATCGCCTAAAGCTCCATCTCCCCAAGCAGTTCTGCCAGCTTCCCAAGCTCCCCTTCCCCGTCGACTTCCCCGAGTACCCCACCAAGGACCAGTTCATAGACTACTTGGAGTCCTACGCCGCACGCTTCGAGCTGAATCCACAGTTCAATGAGACAGCGCAGTCGGCGAAGTTCGACGACACGTGCGGTATGTGGCGCGTCAGGACCGCCGCCAGCAGCAACGCCGAGGTGGAGTACATTTGCCAATGGCTGGTCGTCGCCACGGGGGAGAATGCAGAGTGCGTGATCCCGGAGATGGGAGGACTGAAGGAGTTCGGCGGGCAGGTGATTCACGCGAGCGACTACAGGTCCGGCGAGGCCTACCGGGGAAAGCAAGTCCTCGTGGTGGGCTATGGCAACTCCGGCATGGAGGTCTGCGTCGATCTCTGCCACCACAATTCCTTCCCCGTCATGGTCGTCCGCGACTCGGTAAACGCTCATCCACATCTTACTGCTGCATAATGCTCCGCTAACTCTGGTCACTGATCGGGCTACTGATCTGATCACCAGGTACATGTTCTACCGAGAGAGATTTGCAAGAAATCGACGTTCGAGTTGGCTGTTCTGTTGATGAAATGGTTTCCGGTCAAGTTGGTCGACAGGATTCTGCTGGCCTTGTCGTGGATGATACTGGGGAACATGGAGGAATACGGCCTGAAACGACCATCTCTTGGTCCCTTGGAGCTCAAACACAAGCAGGGGAAGACGCCGGTTCTCGATCTGGGAGCGCTGGGAAAGATCAAATCCGGTGAGATAAAGGTGGTTCCTGGAATCAAGCGGCTCTTGCATGGCGGTGTGGAGTTGGTCGATGGCCGCGTCATTGATGTCGACTCGGTCGTTCTTGCCACTGGTTACTGCAGCAACGTTCCTTCATGGTTGCAGGCAAGTCGAACTCTCACTGTAACAACAGAACTCCTCCATAATCTTCTCAGCTTTCGGAGAAGCATTGAAGTCGAATGTTTGCAGGACACTGACTGCTTCAACAAGGATGGTTTTCCGAAGCAGCCATTCCCCAACGGGTGGAAAGGGAAGACAGGGCTTTATGCTGTTGGATTCACAAAGAGAGGGTTGGCCGGTGCATCCCATGATGCAGTGAAGGTAGCAGAGGACATTGGCAGGGTGTGGAGAAAGGAAACTAAGCAGGCAAAGCATATCATTGCCTGCCATAGGAGATGCATCTCACAGATCTGATGAAGAGCTCTGTAGCTCGTGCTCGTTTGCTGTCCTTCTTCCTGTTAGTGACAAGCACTGTACAAACTGTAAAGGAATCAGGAACAGAGAAGCCTCCCCGGTTGTAGTAGCCCCAAGTTTTGTCTCTGGAAATGGCATCTCACATATCTTTTCCTTAATTGTGTTGTGGAAAATCCAGTTTCCCTTGAAACCAATAAATCAATCCATAATCTAACGACCATTTTTTGATATCGGTAAGATAATATATGTTTAACCTAATTTTAGATAGGTAAATATGAAAAAAAATTGTCCAATTAATAAAATAGTTAATTTGGGATCAGTTTATTATGTTATATATATAAAGAAGAGCAATTTTTCTGAAAAAAAAATTTATATTTGGCGTTTTTCAGAAAGTATCATAGATATCAATTTTTTTATTTGATTTTTTTTTTCTCTAATACTTTAAATGCTACTTGTTCATTTCTCTGATTACTTTTACCCCGTCGTGTGGATTTACCATAAGACGTTGAATCTCGAATTTTGATGATTAAACCAATTGATAGTATTTATCTGATCTACGTTTTGAGTAACGCAGGAAGCTTCGATCAGGGAGAGACAATTAAAGCAGGAAGAATCATGTTGGGCCAGAATGAAACATGTCAAAAGATTGGACGTCGAGCTAGAGGATTGATCGACGTATCGACAGAAGGCTTCGGGCTAAAGGTTCGAGCATCAGGCCAAGAAGAGCGAAAATTACGGTAAGAAAATCGGAATTGCAGAGGTCAACTAGCAGATTAGGCAATAGGCTACAAGAGAAGACGATGCACTGAAGAATTATACGAAACGTCGATGAACCAATGACATGCCGAACAACATTTGATTTAAGCCTTATAATAATTGTCTAGATCGAAATATGTTTTAAGTGTGTAAGATTAACTATTATAGCAAGGTATAAAGCGAAATGAAGTCCGGGAGTCAAGAACGAGACTTCGTTGGGAGTTCGAGAGTTCATCGGAAGTCTGGACGTTCATCGGAAGTTCCGTCGGACTTGACCGAGAAGTTCAGGAGCTTACCAAAGAAGCTTATCGGAACTCGCCAAGAAGATCGTCATGAAGTCTAGGAGCTTGCCGAGAGTCCGTTGGAACATTGCTGAGAGATCATCGGAAGTTCGTCGGAAGATCGTCGGATGCTCATCGGAAGAAATCTAGACTTACGGACTTATTTAGCTTAATAAATGTCTTAAAATTCGTAGTTAGCACATAATTGGGTTGGAATTGGGTCAACTCAATTAGGAGCCAATTGGGCTAAGTTTGGGCTATGTTAGGCCAAGTGAAAATGCTCAAACAATGACCAAACAGGTGGAACCGATGCAGCACAATTCCCGAGACTATGTCAGGCGGTGGTACCGCTAGTCTGAGCGGTCATACCACCCAGACTCAGTCTCGGAGACTATCAGGCAATGGTATCGCCCATACCCCAAAATTTCGGGGATTTAAATTTTGGCTCCAAGTTTTGAAGCCATTTGGGGTCTATAAATACCCCAGCTATTCTTGCATGGAGTAGTAAGAAAGGTGATCAAAAACTCTATATTTCTAAAGTTGAAAACCCTTATAAAGTATAAAGTCCCTCGTTCGAAAGTTTAGAGACCATTCTAAGAGAGAGTGTGAGGGAAGCATCGTAAAAAAGGGTTGTAAAGATTCTCTCCCGAACCTGTAAAGGAGAATCGAGTTGTAAGGGTAGTTGATCTTCACACATTAAAGGAAGATCGTCAGTGAATGCTGGTGGCCTCGACGGAAGAGGAATCGGCAAAGTGGATGTAAGTCACGACGATCGAACTACTATAAAAATCTGGTTTGTATTTATTTCTTGCTATTTACCTTTATTGCAAACGAAATTCTTATTTTTCGAAACTAAATTTTATCATACGAAAATTTTTTCAAACCGATGTTTTTATCCGCTGCACTAATTCACTGATGCACTGATTCCCCTCTTGTCTCTCACTAAAGTCTATTGTGATACATATCAATAATGATCGCGAGTTGTTTTGGCATCGTTGCTAATAAATAAGGAGGAGGAGGAGCACAAATTTGAAGTCACAAGTGCAATAGCAGCACACTAATCCGGTCTTAGGTCTCACTCCAATCTTTTTTTTTTACGGTCTTAAAACTAAGCCCCTCATTATCAAAATCATCACAAGTGTGCGACACTCACCACCCTGCCAATAATCTCATTTTCCCCGATGAGGGCGTAAGTCCTTTGGTAAAAAATTAAATTCATCCGATGTGTCTTTGATTGAAAAGGCAATAAGGTGATGGGGTATTTAGGATATTATAAAAAAATATTTTTAGGATATTATAAAAATATGAAAATGATATATGAAAATGATATATAGGATATTATGAAAATGATAAGAGATATTTAGGATATTATAAAAAAAAATAAAACACCAAATGATAAAATTAAAAACTAAGAGATATCTTTTAAAAAAATATTTTTTCATATAAAATCGCCTTACAAAATAATAATATGTAATAACATGTTATTTTTTTATTGAAATGACCGATGTTTCTTAACATGTTATGATATGTAATCAGTATCCAAGTTACCTATTGTAACATGGCATAACTCGGCCCCGACCGGCTGGAGATTGAACCCGTTTCAGGGGTCGCCTATTGAAGACTCAGACCGGTCATCGTGATTTCTTAAGCACGCGGCAAGGAGGCCAGAAGGCCATCATCTCCCCTCTCTGTATCTCGTCTTCCTCCCCGTATCAGAGGAGAAAGAGAAGGAAAGCAGCCGGGTGGGAGCGATGAGCGGGCACGATTCCAAGTACTTCTCTACCACCAAGAAAGGAGAGATCCCCGAGCTCAAGGAGGAACTCAATTCCCAGTACAAGGTTTGCTCCTCCCCTGATTCGATCCATTTAGGGTTTGATTGACCGCGGATCGGACCAGATCCCTTTGGATCTCTATGCCTTCCTTTGCATCCGATGGATTTCCTTGCTGAATTTCTACATAATCTCGAGTCCATTTCGTTGTCTCGTTTGATGAAATATTATCAGGTTCGATTCGATAGTTTATTAGCTGGAAAGAACCTAAATGATCTCGAAGCCATTTGTTCCTCTTCGATATATCTCCTAATCTTTAAAGATCGGAGGATGAAAGAGAAGTCTTATGGTGTTTATACCTGGATTTGTCTCCCCACTGCACTTCAACGAAAACGTACAAACTTGTTGCAGGAAAACAAGATCTTTGCTTCTTTCTTTCATCCAAACTTTGTTATAGATGCCTGTAAAGAACTGAAGGCGTTAGGAAGAAATAAACCTTTGGATACAGATCTCTATTGTTGACACCAAGAGTGGACGAGAAGAATTAATCATCTGTTCCCAGTATTGGATCCTGTGAATGTTATAGACGATTACCTTTCTTGGGTTTCACAATGCTCTATACACACACTCTGAATGTGCCAATTTGTTTGTACCAAATTCACGTTGTGACATTAGTTCACTTTTACTCGTCCATACGGCTTGGTTAGTTTATTTCATCTCGAAGAAATTATATTGCTGTCCGATTTTTATCATTGTTCCTTTTGGCTACCCAGACGTCATTCATGTGCTTCAGATTTTAAAATGGATGAGTTAAAAAGGCTAAATTTGAGGAGACTTCATAGGGGACATTTTTATTACTGTAACAAAACCTCAAGTGGACTTGGTGGACAGACAAATGCATTGGACCTCATTCTCTGGTCCTTTTCCTTCTTTCTTGCAAGTCTCCTAGTTGAATGGTGAACAATCTCTAAACCCAGTGAAGAATTTATTTTTCTTATAGTACTACTCATGATTGATCAGATAACCAGGAAGAGAAGGTAGCATAGAACTGTTGTTCCACTTTATTCTCCCTATATATAAAGAGGACATTAACTTTTTTGTAAATTCACTTGTTTGTTTTGGTTTTATTCAGCTGAAACAATAATGATTAACTATTCCATTTGTGCTAATCTATTCTGTAGGATAAGAGGAAAGATGCAGTGAAGAAGGTGATAGCTGCAATGACTGTTGGAAAAGATGTTTCATCATTATTCACAGATGTTGTGAACTGCATGCAAACGGAGAATCTAGAGCTGAAAAAACTTGTCTATTTATATCTCATAAACTATGCCAAGAGTCAACCTGATCTGGCCATACTTGCGGTGAATACGTTTGTGAAGGTAGGAGATTGTGTACTTCCAGTATCTATGTTCATGAGTTGTCCTACCAAATATCTCCTATGTTAATGTTGGAGAACAGTTGTGTTTTTAACTTGTAAATATGTCAATTTCCATACTTTATATGGTTCAGCAATATTTTTTTAGTACAGTGTTTGACATCTGTTTGAATGAGTTCCTAAGCAAGTGATTTAACCATAGAAGCACATTAATGGTTTACAACTACAGCTTGGAAAAATTTATAGAATATGGACAAGGTATGATACTAAAATATAAAATGAATTTGGATCTGTCAGGTGCATATGCTAGGACTAATCTTTTGTGTTAATATGTAAACACTTAATTTGTTATAGAACTTATTGTTTGATTTGTTATACTTTTCATTAAACAGATAATCATTGATCTGTAAATTCTACTGTTTCTTCAGTAAATCAAGCTTGCTTTGTGCCTTTTTTTTCTAAGTATAGCCTTAAGAGTTGCTGCCAAGCTTTACCTGGCTATCAAGGTCATGCAATGGAGGACAAATATGGGGGTACTTGACACTGTGCCCAAACTTTGTTTTGCTTACAAGATTATTACCAAACTTTAGGTCAATGGAACTTATGGCAATGGACATATAGATTTTTAGAGCAATCTATGTTAATGCTTGTTTAAAATATCAAATGATGAAGGATACATAGGTTACAAACCCGATAAAAATTACAGTGGAACTGAATATTTGAACCTAGAACTCTGGGTCCAATCATATTACAATGTAAGTTGTTAAATTATAAGAAAGTTGTCTGGAGGAAGGAGTAATCGTTCTGCAGTTCATGATGTAATGGAAGGTTTAAAAAGTTTTGACTGATCA